CATATTTATAAAGGTGAAAGCCAAAAGCTATCCCACGTTATTGAATCTATGGGATCACTTTCTAACTTCAGCTTGTTCAATTAAGCTTTAACAATAAAACCTGGAAATCTGATTGGTTACTATGCACAGTTGAACCAGATTCTGTGTCCTCCAGTTTCAGTAAATCCCACCCTATGCGTTAAAAACTTGCTGGTTTTTGAAATTGGATATCCTCTTCATAAAATATTACAACATAACACAATTTTCTGATTTGTTCACACAAAAAGAAATTAGCTAGTGTCAGGACAGTACGTAAACACTTAAATAAGCATAAAATAGAAACAGACTTGACAGGTTTTATCTGCCAATAAAATTAGAGTGTATTATGAGAAACAAAGCACAAATATTGTAAAACGGCTGGACAGTATAGAAGATGCTTAACAAGGCCACAATGTAAGGTGGAGAGACAAGGCACTGACTGCCTAGCCACAAATATTGTACAGTGGCTAGATGCAAGCAGCTTAATAAGATTAAGAGGGAGAGACGAGGCAGGTTTTATATTGAAACAAACAATAGAGTGTATTATTTTAGAGACAATATCCACAAATATTTTACAGTGTGGCAAGACAGTATAAACTTGGTTACGTTGCACTGTATGTGGGAGAGACAAGATAGGTTTTATCCTGAAAAATACATTAAACTGTGTTATTTGAGAGAGTTTAGCCGCAAATATTGAACAGCTGCAAGATAGAATGTAAGCCCACAATGTAAAAGCGAAGAGGCAGGTTTTATATTAAAATAAACATTAGAGCTTCTTATTTTAGAAACAATAGTTACAAATATTGTACAGTGGCTGTACAGTATGTAAGCAGCTTGGTTAGGACACAGTATAAGTGAATGTTACAAGGCAGGATTTATTGTGAAATAAAAATTGTCACATATTATTTCAGAGACAAGAGACAAAAATATTGTAGAAGAGCTCCCTTTGTGGTGCAGAACTATGTGTCTTCTCGTGCATGTGGTACCCACATGACTGGTGCTTTTATCATGGGTGATACATTGCAGGCAGAAGCTGCAATCCATAAAGATGCTGTCAGCAGCAGATGTGTTAAAAAAAGTAACACATAAAGAGCTCTGTGGATTGGCCCTGGGGATAGCCGTGACCTGTATCTTTAGGGCATTGCCACCAATTGCAATAGGAAGGTTGCATCCTCCAGTCTTCTGCAAGCTGCACCTGCCCCTGGAAAAAATTATAATTTCTCTGTTGTCTTGCCTCTCCCTTAGTTTCCTCCTCTTCAATAGGTGGTACCTAGGTTTGCCACCTTGTCATTCAACTCCTACTTATTCCACTCGGCAGTAAGCTTCAGGGACCACACTGTCTCTTTCTGCTCCCTTCCTGGTATCCCCTGGTGCTCTCTTTCTCGTGCTCATTATCTAAAATGAGGAATTGCTATGCATGATTAAGATCATCAAGTGACTCTTTATGTGATTAAATAATTCCCCTGACTCCTCCATGCCTGTCTGTGGGGCTATAGAAAGATTAGCAGAAGAGGAGGAGGAGGAAGAAGGAACATTAGCAGCAATTGCAGGCAACTGGCTACTCCACAACTTGGAGGAAGAATAAGAGGTAAGCTTTATCAGCCACTCAACTATCTGCTCCATGTTGTCACATACCTGTATGAGAAGCTCGGGTTGATTAGGGCTTGCATAATTCAATTCCCATATGAGCACCTCTGAAAGTTGGGATGGGCTACAAGGACAATGGAAGGACACAGGTGCCAGCAAGCTGAAACTGAAGATTTAAACTTGGGAGCACTGGTGTCAAGTAAACAGAATCACAGAGGGCACCCAGAATAAAATAAGTCCAGTAAACGTCCAGTCCATATCAGAGTCGGGTTGCAAGCCAAGTTCGGTAACAGTTAAGCAGGAAGGCACCAAAGGTTGGCAACATACAGGCAATAAGGTACTGAATTGATAGGCAATTTATTGGTCAAGAGTCCAGGCCGAGATCGGTAGCAATATAGTCATCATAAATTATAGATAGGCAAGGGTGATCCAGAAGGTCAGATGAAAGCAAGGTCAATAACAAGATCAATCTGATCCAGGATCAGGGATAACAGGAACTGAAACTAAAAGACATTCAGCAAAGATCTCACGCAGGAACCTGGTTTAAATAGCCCACTAGGTACCAGTATCTGTGCTGGATATACCTCTGCATCCACATGCATGCCATTGTGTTTACGTGTGTAGCAATACCCATGTAGGACCAGAGTGTGATTTGAGTCCCCCTATGCTCTGCACGGCCAGGCAACATGCATTTTCCACACGTGTACTTTTAGAGTCAGTAAAACAGTCATTGAGCTTGTTTTTTAGTCTTTTTTTATTAAGGGGTTAACAACTTTCAGTCTTTTCAGATGACACCAAGCTGTGCAGTGGAATAACGTCCTTTCAGGATGTCTCCAACTTACAAGCCGACCTCAATGCACTGTGTAATTGGGCAACTATGTGGCAAATGAGGTTTAATGTTGATTAATGTAAGGTTCTGCACTTGGTTTCTAAAAATATGCATGCATCATACATACTAGGGGGGGGGGGGGGGGGGCGTACAACTGGGGGAATCAATGGTGAAGAATGATCTGGGGTTCTGGTAGATCACAAGCTTAATAATGGCATGCAATGCCAAGCTGTGGCTTCTAAAGCGAGCAAAATCCTCTCTTGTATTAAAAGAGGTATAGACTCCAGAGAGAGAGATATCATGTTACCCCGGTACAAATAATTAGTAAGACCTCATCTGGAATATACAGTTCAGTTTTGGGCACCAATTCACAAAAAGAACATTGGGGAACTGGAGAAAGTACAGAGAAGGGCAACCAAACTGATAAGAGGCATGGAGGAGCTCAGCTATGAGGAAAGATTAGAGGAACTAAATTTATTCTCTCTTGAGAAGAGATTAAGGGGGATATGATCAACATGTATAAATACATCAAAGGTTCATAGAGTTATTCACTTTGAAGTCATCACAGAGGACAAGGGGGCACGCTTTACGTCTGGAGGAAAATAAATTTAATCTTTAAACATGGAAAGGTTTCTAAAAAAGCTGTGAAAATGTAGAATAGACTATGCAAACTTTTGAGCACAACTGTATCTCTTCAAATTTACACTTATGAAGTGTACAGGAACCTGATCTGTTGTGGTTGACATTCCTGGTGTGTATACCGGTGTGGAGGTGGAGATACAGGTGTGATATTTTTTTATACTGCTGCCCTATTGCACTTTAATAAAGAGCTATATGGACTGAGCTAAAAGATTTACAAGTCCTTTGGGCAGATGACTTTGACAACATAAGAAAACAGTGATGCCTAATGTATGCCATTAGGCTGTTGTTATTTTGAACAGGGCATTAATTACAAAAGTGGATTGGTGTGTGCTTCATTACAAGATAAGAGGCAAAAACTGTAGGAGGGTAGTTTGCAAATGGCCCTTTACTCACTCATGGAGACCTCCAGTGATATTTAAGGAGACCCTGTTACCAACTTAAAAAAAATGGAGGTAAGCACTGAAATGCTCACTGGCAATCCTTTTCCTTTCCAAAAATAATTTTTAACTTATATTCAATATGCCTTTGCACATATAATCTGATGGGAAGATTTTTGATGAATAGTCTGGCAAATGGGTCCCTTAACACCTGGTTCATTCTGTCAAGAGCAGTGTCAGCACTGCTGTCCCTCGATTAGTCAAGGAGGTCCAGTGTGGTTTTCCATTGACTACTTCTCCAGTGCAGCTGTACAGCTGTGAATAAAATACAAAAGAAAAAGATGTAAGAGATAAGAAAGAGGGTAAGTAGAGTCACACATACTGTATGTCAATGCAAAAAATAATATAGCACAAATCATAACATATATAGTATGTAGGTTTGAATGGGTTTGGTGGGTGGGTAGGCCGCTATTATAAAAAAATCATCTTTTTTTAAAATGATCCTCAAGGATTAACATGTCTATACAGTATTAGTGATTAGGGGACCAGGCAAAGTTCAATTCTTTGGATAATCATTACAAACTATAAAAGCTTTGCAAACCCCAAACAGCACCCAAGCTGTTTAGTAGGGAGTAGGCCCATCAATGCTGCTTAACCTCCTCGGCGGTATGATTCTTTCCGATTTTTTGTGCTGAAAGAGGTACCATTTTTTTGCATGGAAATATGTAGTTTTTTATTGTAGGCTGTAATTTTTAGGAATAACTCACTGAAATCTGTACGAACAAGAGTCTAGTAAACATCCCGGGTATGATAAAACTTGAAACACAAAATCATAAATTATAATTTAATAAATAATCATAAAAAATAATAATATAATAATAATAAATTTAATTCAATAATATAATCAAACCAAAAACACTGAAATTTGAAATACAGAGGCAAATTCGCACATCGCTGAGCAAAGTCGCAAAATCGTTTTCAGTGTCTGATGACGAATTTCCCCCACGAATCATTATCACTCAATTCTGCAAGTAGTTCTAATTTACTATCGCTGTTCTCTAGCTGGTCTAAAACTGCTTTTGACGTAAAGGGGCGCTTTTTGGATGCCATGGACTTTTCTAAGTTTCCAGGCAGAAAGAACAGTCAAAATGCAGGCAGGGCACAGGACAAAGCAGTAGGGACAAAATATATGTGAAATGCATTGAAACAGCAATGACAGCAAAAATGAAATTTTTTAAAAATTTCAAATTTGCCGCCGGTTCCAGCGCCCGTACTTCCCGACATCACAGGGACCGGAACACGGAAGCCGGATGCCGGCATCGGCTGGAGGAGATGGCCGGGGACGCTGCAGGGGACACATCGCGGGAGCGAAGGACAAGGTAAGTGCTGCAGGGACTCCTTGAGCAATGCCGCATGGTAAGCCCGAGTGTAGCTCGGGGTTACCGCTCTTGGTACTCAAATTTTACCCCGAGCTACACTCGGGAAAACCGCTAAGGAGGTTAAAGGATAACAATAAAACTACGAAAATCCTTTCTATCACGTCTGGGGGATGCCTTAAAGCAGGGCTTGAAATTTCCACTTGCCTGATCGCCAATGGCGAGTGGAAATTATGGTGAGGGCGAGTGTGTCCCCCAGGGCCGTCTTGCTGAGCAGGCTCGGAGCTCAAGCCGGATCTGTCATTGGCACTGGGAGCCGTCAGACTGCTCAATAGCTGAGCGCAGTGAAAGCAAAGCAAGGAGTGTGTGCTGTGCTCTCTGCCTTCCCCTAGAGTGCAGTACCCGGATCTGTGAGTGAACAACGAAGTACTGCAACTTTTTATGGGTGTGTGTGTGTTTGTGTATGTATGTACAATTGTACATATGTCTGTGTGTATGTACATGTGTGTATCTGTGCATGTGTCTGCGTGTATGTACATGTATGTGTGTGTGTACATGTGTCTGTGTGTGTGTGTGTGTGTGTGCATGTACATGTGTCTGTGTGTTTGTTTGTGTGTATCTACGTACATGTGTCTGTGTGTACATGTGTCTGTGTGTATGTACATGTGTCTGTGCGTGTGTATTTCTGTGTATGTATATGTATCTTTGTGTATGCGTGTCTGAACGTGCCTGTGTGTGTATACATGTGTCTGTATGTGTGTGTGTACATGTGTCTCTGTGCATGTGTGTACATGTTTCTGTGCGTGTATGTGTCTGTGTGTGTGTACAGGTGTCTCTGTGTGTGTTTGTTGGTGGCGAGTAACTCTAAGGCTTGGCTAGTAGCTCAGGACTTGAAATTTTAAGCCCTACCTTAAAGCGTATCTATGGTCATAATTTTAAATCACATATTCATTTCCACATTGTATTTCAATTATCTCTAGCCTACCACTCTCATTCCAAAACAGCTTATATAAACATGTATTTCTTTGACACTTATTCACTATACCCTGTGAGTAGCACTGCTTTGTCACACATTTCACAGAGCCTGCCTTCTGAACTACAGAGGTACTGAGAGGAGGAGCTTCAGGAGGTGGAGTCAGTACAGGAATCATAGCTTGCAGAAAGCAAGGTACCATGGGATATGTAGTCCTAAGACATCAAAACTAAACAACAGAGGAGAAGCTGCAAAGCCTGCAGGGAATCTAGGAAATTGTGGATAGAGATGACCAGCAGACAAGAAGCACATGAAAGGAGATTTTTTAAGGCAGTTTATATTGGATTGTCAAAAATACCTTTTGTTTGTATAGCTATTACAATGTTCATGTTATAAAATAACACTCTGTGACTATAAAACTCCTTTAAACCTGAAAACAAAGTGGTACATCTGTAGAATGTATTCTCGCAAAAGTGACACTTAAAAAATTTTTTTTACCACTAAATGACAGTTTTTCCCCTGTTTGTAAATAAAACAGCCAGGAGATCCCAGATGACATTGTTGGCCACATATGGTCAATGACATTAGCCAGGATACCCGGACAGTTTGTATACATTCAGCAGCTGTCATTTAAAGTGGAAGAATCAGTGGGAGAGGATAATGACAATGTGGGTTGTCGCATCTATAGGTTGATGGGGTGTTGCTCATCGTGATTAACCATGGATCTATATCTCTGGACAACTTGACTAATTCTAGATTTACATTGGGGGAAAATGTTTATTTATTTTTAATAAGAGACTTTTAAAATGATGTCTGTTTGTTTATTTACTTTTTTAATTCTTTTTGTGAATAAAGGCCCTTTCACGGGGGTGATCTGATCGGGTCCACTTGTCAGTTTTTCAGGTGGACCTGATGGAAAGGTCCATGCATTCCTATAGACTGACAGATGTAAACAGACTTGTGTCTATTTACACCCACCTACCTCCAGGTCTGACTAGGCCTGCTAAAAAAAAGGAGATCAGAGACAGTCGGGAGTAAACCGACAGCGGTCTGTCCATGTCCTCTCTGCATAAACTGAGCAGCCACAGACCTGTCTTTTGCCTGCTCTGCTCCAATCAACAGGGGATCAGTCTCCAGTCCCACCACTGTTACCAGAACTTGACGATAGTGGTCTAATGCAGGCCATAGATGGGTCGAAAGCCGACCATTTTTTTTAACAAAAAAACGAAAAATCGGTTGTTCAATAGGCAGACGTTACCACCAATGGTAAAAAAAATTGGCTGATTTTCATCCTGTCTACGGCCAGCATTTAATTACTTCTGTCCCTGCAGAGAGCTCCGCTATTATATTTGACATTAAAAAGTATAGCGGTTGCAACATTGTATCTATTTGTATCCATTTCTGATACAGATGGTTTTATTTGGATACAAATAGATACATTGTTGCAACTGCAATACTTTTTCATGTCAAATATAATAGCGGACCGGAATTCTTCTTCTTCTTCTTTTTCTTATTCTTTTTCTGCTTCTTCTTTTTCTTCTTCTGCTTTTTCTTGCATGTTATGGCTCATGCGCAGATTTTTTATCGGTAAAAAGATCGGCCGATTTGCCCATCATTGCCGTGAAAATTGGCCGATCGGCTAAATCGGCCGATTTTATTCCAACTTTACCGATCAAAAATATGTGCCAAAATCCAGAAAAATGGCTGACCAATTAACCCATTAATCAGCCGATTTTTTTTTCAGCCGAAAAATCTGCCGATTTTCAACCCATCTATTGCTTACATAAGCCAGTGTTTCTCAACCTTTTTTCAGTCAAGGCACCCTTTAAATTCTAAAATGGGGTGCCTCTAGACTGTCCATAATTTTAAAAGAGCACCCCATTATAACATGTGAAAACTATTCTAATAGTTTTATATAATACAGCAACATCCACACATGTAGGACACATTAGAGGTGATTTATTCTTCCAAAGCAAATACACTTTTGCGCACTGGTACTGACTAGTATTCCAATGTTTCTCTTCTCCCTCAGTTTCTATCCATCACTGAGCTAATGTTACCCCAACCCTGATGGAAAGGGGTGGGGGAGGGTCAAACTAAAATGCTGTACAGGCAGCTGACATCCTCCTTATCAACGGATAATGTAATTGGTTGTCAGGACACCAGTGGCTAGAAGGTCGTAATGGTGCACAATGAAAACCTGTGGCTTTGTATAACTAAAAGGCAGGCTTGTTTTTGGGAAAATTTTAGACATGTTCCTAAGGCACCCCTGAAGAAACCTTAAGGCACCCCAGGGTGTCTGGGCACCCTGGTTGAGAAAGGCTGGTCTAAACCTTAGCATGAACAGAAATTTTCCAGCTGAGAGGACAATAATTATAGTGCTAGCAGTCTGAAAGTGATTGTCACTGGGGAAGGTTAACTCCACAGTCAACAAATTACACACACAAACAGTACTTGCCATAATATGTTTTAATGGAAATGCACAATGTTCACAGCATTTGTTGTATTGAGAAATGTCTGTGACACTCACTGCCACAACAGACAGGAAGCCAATACAGTTCATTTATTTATGATTAGAGCATTTACTGATTTGGATTAAAGTGTAATTAAAGAAACAAAACATTACGTATATGCTTCAAGTACCTTAAATACCTTAAAATCATTCCAGAGAGATCCCCATCTGCATTAATTTCATTTATGCCTTTGTCTAACATTTATTGTGCCTGGAGATGTGTTCTTTCACTACTGCAGTAAGCACACATTGTAAAAGTGGGGAAAAACATTTCAATATACTAAAAAAGCTTTTTGAGCCAGTGATTAATGCTCTTTATGAATACTTTAGTGACTTTAGTACTCCTTTAATGATTATAAAAAATGTTTTAAGAAAAAGAAATTGCAGCAGCATTTTCTTGATTTCCCCAGAGAGTGTTCACTGCAATGAAATAACCAGTCAAAAGGTTCTAGGGGTGTGTTGAGGAATGTTGAAGTGTTTGATGATACTTGAGATGACACTACCTTAATGTAATTTATCTCTTAGATTGTAAGCTCCAAGGAACAGGGCCCTCCTAACCCTCTTGTATTGAACTGTATTGTTGTCTGTATTGCCTTTATATTGTAAAGTTCTGAGCAAACTGTTGGCGCTATATATATCCTGTATTATAATAATAATAATCTGAACTATATCAATATTTCCAGAGGACAAAGTTTTACAATTTGGCAACCAACATATTATTGAAGAGAATAAAATCATGATTTGATAGACATCAAAAATGATATTAATTATAATTATGCATATTCTCCTTAGGAGCTGTAATGTGTCCCATCCATTTTCTGGACATTATAGCATAGATATGTACATTTGGACAGACACTTGTAATGAATGTCATTTATTATATTAAGATTTATGGAATATTAACATGTTTTGGTTCTGGAAGCTAAAATACACCAAACTAGGATGTGTATTTGCTTAAAACTATTTGTGAAGTGGATTAATGACTATCTTATAATATGTTAATAGCAGGCTTCCCCTTAGGGCTATGTACAATACCCATTTATGACCATAATACATTAGAGCCTGTTGTGAGTACTGATAGAGGTTTTATGGCAAGGCAGTTTTTCAGTGGGGCTTAGTTAGAAGTCTTTTGAAGCTTTTCAGATCCTGGTATTGTAATGCTTGCTCCTGGTCAGAGAATACTGTATATGTGGTTAGTGGAGCTTCACCTATAGCAGCCCTGGTTCCATTAAGGCAAGCAAGCCTACCAATACACGGTTGCTCCTAGGACCTATTACACAATTCTGTATTCTCTGGCCAGGTAGAACAAGAGGGTGAGCAAGGGTAGAGCAAGATTACCTATGGTTCACAAAGATACAGCTGTCTTTAGAGAACGGATGGACAGCTGCTTCAGCTGAAGAGTAATTAGAGGGATGTGGCAAGGGTCATTCCATGTGGCAGACAAGAAACAAGATCAGTAATCTGGTAAGAGTCGATCCAGGTGGAAGGCAAGAGAAGTGGTCAGTGCGTAGGCAATGGTCAGATAACATGCAGGTCAGAATTCAGATAAAATACAGGCAGCTAGTGAGGCATGTGAAGAAACCTGTCACAAGTGCCACACACAGAGCCAGTAAAGTTTAAATCAGGTGGCAGCAAACACAGGGCCAATAGAGGGCAAGGAGGGAGGAGAATGTTGCAGGCTTTGCTATGCAGCAGAAAGGGCAGCGTCAGGATATAAGACACAAGGGACTCATCACCAAATCCCTGGCTCTGGTGGATGTGAGGATCTGTGGGGGGACTTATGGAAATCTGGAAAGCCCCTTTAAAATAAGGCTACCCTTAGATTTCTGATCCTGCCTACCAGAAGAATAAGTGCATGGCACATAGTACCCATTCAATAAAAAATGTTAGGAGGAAATAACAACACCCACACTGTAGAAAAAGTATTTTATTTAAAAAAAATGCACCACAATGTAAATCCAATGTCAATCAAGTCATCCAGTGATCCATTGTCAATCATGATGAGTGCACTCCTGGCGACCCAATGCCCTGACTGGACACTGAATGTCAGCAAACCGACTGTGGATGCTGGATGACATCATGTCCATGTTTGGTAATAATAGTGTCACTAAATGAATGACTTCTAGCTAAACAAGCCAGAGATTCAGCTGGGCAGGTGATTTGGCCAAATCTGTCCATTTAGTTCACTCATTCAGAGAACTGTGAACAGTCTAGGCACAGGTGGAACTCATGATCTACCCGGACCCGAGGTCCATCCCTAGTCTTTACTAAAGTTGAACTCTAGGAATGATGATCTTAATTGCATAGTTACATTAGTCCAGTTTGAACCAATGTAAGTATATTTCATACAAGAGGGACCGCTATGGAAGCAAACACACATTGTAGTAGTTAGCTCTACTACAGTAAAGATCACTATTATATATACTTCCAGGTTCTGGGCGGAGCAGCTGCACCAATGTATACTGACCACAGGGGTCCCTTGTTTGGCACTGCCAGCTTTCATAGAACACCTTGTATTTTTTCAATGAATACAATGCATTCTCTGATTGGATGTGGTAGAGAGGAGGGATGATGATGTCATGATCTCCAGGTCGTCCAATCAGAGAAAGCTGTGCATTCATTGAACAAATATTGTGTGAATGGCGGTGGTGCCGAACAAGCGACCCTTGTGGTCACTTTACTGTGGGGCAGCCACTCTGCACAGGACCATGAAGATCGCAGTGATCGCTGTAGTAGTGTTGATTACTATAGAGTGTAACCTTTTTAGCGGTCTTTCAGGTATGAAATATGCATACTTACACTGTGCCAAGCTGGACCAATGTACCAATGCATTTAGGATTATAACTACAGTTCAGTTTTAGGAAGAAAGGGTGTATGCCACAGACCAATTGTAACAAGGCTACCTGCTCTCTTACCCCTTTACCTGCCTTGCCCTCCGTGCAGGTGGGTGCACTGTTCCTCATGACACTCTTGCATCATCTGTTGGCAAAAATCTTGTATTGCAGTGTGCATTCTGCACAAAACCTCTGATGTCATCTAGGCACACAATTATGTTTACTATTAGAGTGCCTGATCAGAGGTGTTTGACACTCTGCATAAACACTTGGAGAGATTACCCTGTGCATATTTGTATCTGTTATTCTGGTTATTACTTGTTTTTTTTATCCTGGTATGGGCTCCTATCTGCTATTCTGGTTACAAAACATTTTGTCTACTTGTATGGGTTTCTCATCTACTGTTACACCTTGTTATAGGTCTTCTTAGATCCTGATTACTGTCACCTAGTTCCTCAGCTAGGCCTGTTTTCCATCTAATGAAACCTCTAGCTTGTACTTGACTACGTCTTCCTCTAAATCTTATATTCATCTGTTTAATCATCAGTTGCCAGCAGCGGGGCAAAGGATGAAATCTTGGGTCTACTACACAGCCAATTTCCAACATTTTTGTCCAGAGAAAAGGTGAAGAGCAGCCTTCCTAACACTTCCCAACACTGGTGGTGCAGAGGAATTGCCAGTATCCATGAAACTAAGCAAATAAAAAGCACTCCAGCTACAAGTTCAGTTTCATTGGCAAGTGACATTTACAAGGTGGGCAGGATGTCCAGTCATCAAGAAGCAGTTTGTTCTTCAAAGTACCAGCTGAGATGAATGGGATGGTTGGACCCCTAAGACTAAGGTATGGGAAACTCTACTAAAAAAAACATTCATTTCTATTCTCCTTTGTTCAATCTCTTTCTAGTTTGTTCAGTATCTAACAAAATTTTATACACCCCAAAAACAACAATTTAATATATTGAAGTTTACTAGTTCTTAGATGTAATGGCTGCATTGGTTTCCTTTTTTGAACTTATTTTTTATTTTATTTTTCCCTGTGATCCTGCCAGTAACATACTTCCTTGCACTAGACTGATAATTTTTACTTAGTGTACTGTATCTATGGAGAAACCATGTTGTCATCCTAGGGCAGGAGGTGTGTTAAGACTACAGAACACCCCTGTCTCATTTTCTTCATAACAAAGGGAGGGGAGGTGTTCTGTGGCTCACAACAAGTACTGGGCAGTAGTGCAGCAGAGGCTAAGGGTACCAGGGTAGGAGGAGGACAACTTGCAGACCACACCCACCTTTTAACCACATAAAATCACACCTCCATTTTTAACACATCATGAAACAATTGGTCATAGCCTTTTGTAACAAAAGGCACTCATTCAAAGTACAAAGACAAAATGGCTTGGGTATCATGAGTAAAAGAATGATGCAGTTGGCATATCATGGTGAATTGTGGTTGTGGCCAAACTGTGGTAACAGTGGGAGGGGCTTAAATGGGTATGGTAAAAAAAAACCTAAGATATACTGCTATGGGTCAAAAGTGTGTAATATACAGAGTGCAGAGGTCAGGTGTAAGTAATGCACAAGATGCAGAGGCCAGGAGTAACAAACACACAGATTGCAGCATTAAGACAAAAGTAGGCAAGGAGAGCAAATGTCAGGAGCAAATAACAAACAGAGTTCAGGAGCAAGTAACACAGAAAATACAGGGGTCAGGAGTAAATAACACAGAGAGTGCAGAGGTCAAGAGGAAGTAACTCACCAATTACAGCAGTCAGACGTAAGTAACACATGGAGAGGTCAGGTGTAAGTAACGCATGTAGAGCAGAGCTAAGGAGTAAGTAATGGCGAGAATGCAGGGGTCATGAATAAGTAATGCACAGAATGCAGAGGTCAGGAGTAGCTAATGCACAGAATGCATTGGTCAGGATTAAATAACACACAGAGTGCCAAGGCACAGTGCACAGAAAGTCATCCACTCACTGGATTTCTGGCAGAAACAACTTATTGCACCCTCTTAGATAGGTGCTAGGTTAGATAATTTAGTTCTTAGCTCCATTGTAATCAGTTGAGCTGCTTGTGATTAGTTTGAGCAAGTTCTGTGTCTCACTGGTTGCAGGATTGGCTGCTCCCCCCTGCCTCCTGGAGGATTCTGAAAAGTAGTGGGTTGGGAGAGTCAAATCAGCAACTGACTATTTATGCAGTCCCAGCAAATCCCTGGGGGAGTGTGCCCAGATGGTGACTGGGAGGGAGTATAAATAATGTGGAGCCTGGAACAGAGAGGTTTTTGTCCAGGAGGAGATTCCAGCCTGAAGGGCTGATGCTTTCTACTGCTCACCAAGGTCCCAGCTTTACTAGTAGGGGGGCTATGCTTCTGAACTCTGCTAGAGCTGACTGAGGGGCTTCTTTTGGGGATCTGGTCTAAAGAATTCACAGGAGGCATTAATTCATCCAAGGACATTAGTGAATGCAGACTGGTGTGCGAGATCCTAGTGTCTGTGGTGCTGTTGTGCCTCTTGTATCAGAGTCAGCCTGCACTTAAAAATTGTACTTGGTGTCAATGTGTAACTCTGCCCATTATTTCCTGATCATCAAAAAATGTGCTGCGCTACTCAAAGTCAAATCAAAGTGCATATGCAAAAAAAATATAAGTGCTCATAAAGTGCTGTATTCACAGTCCATGACCAAAGGAAAAATCCAGTGCAGATAAGACAGCCCGAAAGATCCCACTAATAAACAGATTCTTCACCACTCCTGTGCACTGACAATCAAACTGCTTACCAAATCCTCAGACCCCAAAGAGAAGGAAGTCTGACTACAAATTGAAGGAAAAGATCCAAATGGATGGATGGATAGATGAAAACCTCGTGGTATGTCAAACGAAACCTCTCAAGCTGACAACAGCAATCCAGTGAGATAAACCAACTCAGGGTTGTATTAATAACAAGCAAGAGGGAGAAGGTCTCTCATAAAATCACAATTTTATTAAGAAAAAAAATGCTACTCACAAATGAAAAAAGTACACCGACAAAACAATCTCAGTTTGTCCTGATCAACGCCACAGGGGGCGTGATGATGTCACAACTGTAGATCCTTTTTTCTGATACAAGGACTGTGCTCAGAACCTTTGGGAGGGAGATAGGAGTCCTCAAAGTTACTTCTCAACGTTGCTGGAGTATCCCACGATTATGCTGCACCCATCCAGCTTCAAGTTTATTAAAGCATCAGTAAAATAATACCCCTAGACTGATTATTGAGACAAAGAGTGACTGAGACAAAGTCCTTGGCTGCTAATACCCTTACTGGGAAGGAACTTTAGGATCCAAGCAGCGGGCCTTTAGGAAGGGAGCGCTACACACTTATTAAACAGATATAACAAAGCACTTTCAATGGTATATTTAACCACTTGCCCTCCAGAGGATATACCCCCTTCCTGACTAGGCCATTTTTTGCATTATGGTGCTGCGTTATTTTAACTGACAATTGCGCAGTCAGGCAACGCTGCACCCAAATGAAATTTATGTCCTTTTTTCCCACAAATAGAGTTTTCTCACGGTGGTATTTGATCACATGTGCAGTTTTTATTTTTTGTGCTATAAAAAAATAAGACTGACAATTTTGAGAAAAAAAAAAACAATATTTTTGACTTTTTGTTATTAAACATGTCCAGTAAAAAAATTTAAAAAATCAAATTTCGTCATAAATTTAGGCCAAAATGTATTCTGCTACATGTCTTTGCTGAAAAAAATCCCAATACATGTAAATTAACTGGTTTATTTGAAAGTTATAGCGTTTACAAATGGCGGTATAGATACTGGAATTTTTATTTTTACTAGTAATGGCGGCTATCAGAGATTTATAGCAGGAATGCGGGACTGTAGCGGGCATTCTGACACTGGGGGAAACTGGCTCAGTGTCACTGACATCCCCAGTAACACCAATGCAGTGATCAGTGCTAATAAAAAGCACTGACACCGTACTAATGGCACTGGGCAGGAAGGGGTTAACATCTGGGATGATCAAAGGGTTAACTGTGTACTGTTTCACATTATGTGCTGTGTGTGTGCTTTCCACTGTAAGCACACTGCTTTGTACAGCTGGGCTATGCAGACCCTTACAAAGCAGTGTGCTGGAGCTGATAGGGGAGAGAACTGTATTGTTTACATACAGTTCTCTACACCCCCCCCAACCCCCCATCGGTAGTACTCGGCAATCACCGGGTGCCGGCGTGCAATCACTGGCCAGGATCCAGTGACTGACAGCCGAGGCCGCATATAGCGGCGTGGGTAGGGTACACACGCTGCTTGCACGCACCCTCTACCCGGAAATGCAAAATCATGTATATATACGTGATTTTGCGCACCCCTACTGCCCTGTAGCAGTATTTCTACTATAGGACAGCGGGAAAGTGGTTAACAAGCCAAAATGGGGCAAATAGAAGAAGTTAATTGTAAGGGTTTACATAAACTTTAACCACTTCCCGTCCGGCCCACGTACATCAAAGGCTGGACGGAAGCAGTGCCGAAGTGGGTGGCCGTTTACTGCCTGTGCGCACTCCCTGGGAGCGTGTGGCACCGCAATCCAGTGCCCGCTGTACAGGACCTCTAGGTGAGGTCCTGATTCATGTGATCGCTGATTGGCCAATCAACGATCACATGAATAGTAGTAAGCAAGATGTCATTTCCTGACATCATTGCTTACTACATGTGAAATCTGTGAATGATGACAGAGGTCACATGGTACAAGGCTATTCACAACAGCCTTGTACCATGTGACAAGCTGTGACCAATCACAGCTCACACAGGATTACTCAATGACTGCAAGAATGCAGCCAGAGAGAAGGAGAAATTATTGCTTTTACAGCCTTTAAGGGTATAAAAGCAATCAGTGTAAAGAAAGAAAAAAAAAATCTTCATCACCCCCCACAAGTAGTACAGTGTCAGTATGGTGACACTGTACTGCTAAGGTGACGGTATGTTAAAAAAATCAAAAAAACACATAAATAATAATATAAAAAAATAAAATAAAATTGTAAGACTTTTTTTGAAAAATTATAATTTTGGGTTATAAACTATTTGGGTTATTTTTTTTTTTTTACTAAAAAGATAGCTGAGTACATTTTGGCCAAGATTTATGAAGAAAGACTATTTATTTGCAAAATTTTATAAGAAAAACACTTTTTTTTCCCAAAATGTTTGGACTTTTTCATTTATATAGCAAAGAAATAAAAATCCCAGTGGTGAATAAATACCACCAAAATAAAGTTTTATCTGTCTCAAAAAAAAAATGCTAAAAAATTCATATGGGTACAGTGTTGCATGACTGCGCAATTGTCATTCAAAGTGTGATAGCGCTGAAAGCTGAAAATGTGCCTGGACAGGAAGGGAGTGAAAGTGTCTGGACTTGAAGTGGTTAAAGGAGTAAAATATCAAGAAGCAAATCCTGCTTTTCTCTTGCTCTCAAATTCTTTCCTTTTTCTGAATCCAGACTACAATAAGTAGGCTGCTGCTGTGGGGGTCCACTTACGATGCTCTGACTATGATACATAGCGGAATTTACAGCAGCCTGGAGACCAAAATACATAAGTGCATTTGTCAACAGCACCAGTATTACAATGAAGACTACATCCGATCACTGGCAGTAGGATGTTTAGAACAAGCGTTTACAGACTGTCAAGATGTGTTTACTGCTTTTCAGGATGGAAGAGACATCTGAATCCGATAAACACTGTTAATGAATTCTTCTTTGTGAGTATGAATAATGTTAATAATGCGACCCAGGCAGATGTAAACACATGCATGTAGTTATTCTCTATTTCCTTAGATATGGCTGTAAACTGACTCCCTTTGTGTTCATTCATGAGTATTTTTTTCCCTGAAATGACAAACAAAGTTACAAGCACTGGGACAGAAGTAATAAGGATGCAAATTGTCACAATGGACCACGCCATTTGAATAATATTAAACATATGTTTCCTTTACAGATTTGCTCTGCTGTGTTTTTATTTACTTGAAGCATAGGAGACCAGAGCCTCTTTATTTCATGTACACAGAATGGATTACTGTAAAATGATCTCTGAGCTGTTCTTTTTTTAATGTGTTATGGATTCCTGAAGCATACAAAAATAATTAAAACATAGCATAAAAAAAAGCGGTAAAAAAGTTGCTTAAAAGAAAACAACACTTTCCTAAAAATAAAAGATGTAAGTTTATAATGCTCGGTTCACACTACTGCAGTGAGATTTTGCCACAATTGTCAGTGTGATTATGTAGCAACTTGGCTGCTTTTTTGCATATTTTATGGTGCAAAGTCACACTGTAAATCGCACCAAAGTAGCACAGGTACCTTTTCCAAACTTGTACTGTTCTGAGTCGCATTGATTTGAATGGACACTATTGCGTATAAATTTTTCTTGTCATACGATTTTGTGCGACTCAAGTTACATCAGAAGTCACACTAGTTTGAACTAGCACTAAATGCTACACCACTAATTTTGTCATTAGTGTTGCTAAAAAAATTCATTTTAGTTTGTGGCCAGTTTTTTTACTTTTTTTTTGCTTTGGTACTTTGGTACATGTTACCTTTGGCAGAGACCAGCCCCAGATGTCATTTGTTTGTAAAGTTCTTACCGATTAGCCCAGAAGCCATAACTGTCTTTTGCTTTCATTGACTTCAGTGGGGCTCAAATTTAACACCAGAATTTTAGTCATGTTCACTCCGATCAAACCAAACCCTGGTGAGGACCACCTATGCAGCAGGGAAGGAGCAGCCCAGCAGAAGGCCAGAGAACAGCCACTGACCCAGCAGCAGCATAGGAGAAGGATTGAGTGAGTAGACCTGCAACCCCTGGGACAGATAGGTGAAGGAGCACTCTGGTGAGAAACTGAATTAGCTTACTGCTCAGAACTGTCTTCTCTTAAAGTGACAGGCACTGGATCCCCTGCCCAAGGTTTCACCCAGAACAGCTGGATAAGGAGTATTTGGGGTCTGGGGTAGTACTACACAGGGGCAGACTGACCATTTGGAAACTCCGGCACTGCCCGAGGGCCCGGGGTTAGTAGGGGGCCCCATGAGATGCCCCTGGTACCTTTCTCATAGGCTTTTTTGAGTTTGGGCAAAGACACAGGGGCCCCCATGATCACCTATTGCCCGGGGGCCCCATGAGTAGTCAGTCCCCCCCCCCTGGTACTATCTGAGATACTGGCAAGCTCTCCAGAAGAGAATTGTTGCTGTAAAGACTTGTACATAGTTAAGGAAGATTGTCTTCTGTTGCCATTACCCTTGGGCATCCCATACACCCCTTATTCCATCCAAGTTTATATTCCCCTAATAAAATTCAAAAAAACAAGCTTTAAGGACTGGTTACAATCTCCTGGATGCTAGTCTGAATGGGAAATGCATGTTGCATGGTTGTGTAGGACTATAGGGGGACCCATATCTCTAGTGACTCCTAAGGTGGTAGTGCTACACACCAAAGACCAAACCTCTGGCAGACTGGGGTTTTAGTCTGCCCAACTTCCATAGTAAACAATTCTAGGTATACTGGCACAGAGTGTTTTTTTTCAGCATATCCTAGCTATGATACTTTGTTATGAGTGAAATAATGTGGGATAATACTAGACAGTTGGCATAGGGAGACCAGATGTGTAAATTCAGATTTGGAAATAATCCCTAAGCCTTATATACAGATGAGAAAAATAGTGTAAATTCAATGTGCCAGCTCGGACATTTTTCAATATGTTAAAAAAATGTAAAACATTTTTATGTGATGTAAACTGGTAAAGGAGTTCTTTGCACATCAAACAACTGCATCAGTAGATCATCATTCCCTCCCTGACTTGAAATCAGAGAATGAGCAAATGAATGAGCTTTACTGTTCATGATTATGACTGACAGTGCAGGAAATCCAGAAGTATAACTCCTGTCCTGATTACATATATATGTGAAAGGGATCAACAAATTTTTACCGGTAGGTCACTAACCCAAAGAATGATTGCAAAATAGAAGCAGTAAAAGATGGGTGGTCTAGGGTGGCTTTTCAGTAAATGAAGAAAAATTTAAATATGTCAAATATCAAAAAAGTTTATTAACAAAAAATGCACATAAAACCTGACCTACCCATAAAAGGGGTTTACAATCAATATGAATCATATGCTGATATAAATAAACATGGATATTTTGTACCATTCTTAAAAACAGTAATGTCATAGGTTACACTGTCAACGCGTTTCAGAATTGGAGACCACTTCTTCAGGACCTCATGTTCTCATATGAGATATTATACATATAACGTTTTGCTGGATTCTAGAGATTTGGAAAAAACTTACAGAAATAAACATTAGAATAATGCATTGGTACATATTTTCAAATAGTCCCCCAGGAGATCCTTTAACCAATAGGAGCAGGTGAATAAACTAGAAAGGGTGAAAATTATATAAATATATATATATATATATATATATATATACAGTCATGGCCGAAATTGTTGGCACCCTTGATATTTTCCTGAAAATCAAGTATTTCACACAAAAAAGGTATTGCATTAACACATGTTTTGCTATACACATGTTTATTCCCTTTGTATGTATTGGAACAAATATAAAACAGAGGCAGAAAAGCAAATATGACATAATGTCACACAAAACCCCAAAAATGGGCTGGACAAAAGTATTGGCACCCTTAACTTAATATTTGGTTGCACACCCTTTGGAAAACATAACTGAAATCAGTCGCTTCCTATAACCATCAATAAGCTTCTGACACCTCTCACCCGGAATTTTGGACCACTCTTCCTTTGCAAACAGCTCCAGGTCTCTCTTATTGGAAGGACACCTTTTCCCAACAGCAATTTTAAGATCTCTCCACAGGTGTTCAATGGGATTTAGATCTGGGCTCATTGCTGGCCACTTCAGAACTCTCCAGCGCTTCTTTGCCATCCATTTCTGAGTGCTTTTTGACGTATGTTTGGGGTCATTGTCCTGCTGGAAGACCCAGGATCTTGGACGCAAACCCAGCTTTCTGACACTGGGCCCTACAGTGCGACCCAAAATCCTTTGGTAATCCTCAGATTTCATGATGCCTTGCACACAGTCAAGGCACCCAGTGCCAGAGGCAGCAAAACAACCCCAAAACATCATTGAACCTCCACCATATTTTACCGTAGGTACTGTGTTTTGTTCTTTGTAGGCCTCATTCCGTTTTCGGTAAACAGTAGAATGATGTGCTTTACCGAAAAGCTCTATCTTGGTCTCATCTGTCCACAAGACGTTTTCCCAGAAGGCTTTTGGCTTACTCAAGTACATTTTGGCAAACTGTAGTCTTGCTTTTTTATGTCTCTGTGTCAGCAGTGGGGTCCTCCTGGGTCTCCTGCCATAGCGTTTCATTTCATTTAAATGTCGACGGATAGTTCGCGCTGACACTGATGCTCCCTGAGCCTGCAGGACAGCTTGAATGTCTTTGGAACATGTTTGGGGCTGCTTATCCACCATCCGGACTATTCTGCGTTCTGCGTTGCAATCTTTCATCAATTTTCCTCCTCATCCGTCCACGACCAGGGAGATTAGCTACAGTGCCATGGGTTGCAAACTTCTTGATAATGTTGCGCACTGTGGACAAAGGCAAATCTAGTTTCTCTGGAGATGGACTTGTAACCTTGAGATTGTTGATATTTTGCCACAATTTTGGTTCTCAGGTCCTCAGACAGTTCTCGTCTCCTCTTTCTGTTGTCCATGCTTAGTGTGGCACAGACAGACACACAAATGCAAAGGTTAAGTGAACGTCTCTCCTTTTTATCTGCTTTCAGGTGTGATTTCTATATTGCCCACACCTGTTACTTGCCCCAGGTGAGTTTACAGGAGCATCACATGCATGCTTGTAACATTCTTATTTATCCGCAGTTGTGAAAGGGTGCCAATACTTTTGTCCAGCCCATTTTTGGAGACATTTGTCAGTGACATTATGTCGAATTTGCTTTCTTTCCTCCCTTTTTTTGTTTTGTCCCAATACACACAAAGGGAATAAACATGTGTATAGCAAAA